AACTTTGTAATACACAGAATTTCCACAGTCAATATATTCCTCGTTGCTTTAAACTTAACGACTTTTATAAACACATACTATAATCACAGTGATTCACAAGCTCGATAATTTCGCTCCATGCAGCTGCAAAACACAGAAATAGAATCGGCTTACTATGACTCGAATATCTATTTATCCCTCTAGCTTTCTTTGCCAGGCTTATATACTAAAAAAAGAGGGCATCTCGATTAGATAGAGTTGCCTGGCAAATTCATGATCCTTTGAGAAACTCCAGCACGCATGCTCCCAACGTCATGTGACTTCCACTGTGGTAACAATATTTATTGAATTTTTAATGTTTACTATGTTAAGAAATAAAAATAGAAGCACATTCCTTTGTTACAAATGAGTTTTTATTTCACCCATCCAACAAACAGGTACTCCAGCCAGTTATCTTATAAATAGGAAACTTGCATATGTTACACTAAAGGAAATTTTAATTGAAATACATTTTTCAACATTATTGGCAGAAATTGTTTGTGTCTATAGAGACATATGAATAAACAAGTACAATTATCAAACAAGGAAAAAGTAAAACGTGTTTCAAAGATTCTGGATTTGAATGTCACAAGGGATAATTCTCATTCATTTACGTAATCCAGGTTAAAAACTGCTTGAAACACATACATGTGTGGACATTACTTTCTTACCTGATTTATGGTTTTAAGGACAATAAAGCCAATTTTTGCATACAATGTTGTCTGTATTAGATGGTACCAAAATTTAGCCCCAGTCTTGTCTATTTAAAATCAAGTAGTTTTATATCATTATTTTTAATTACATTAAATTTAACAAACATTTGGTGCATAAATTATTATCTGGATATAATCCAAGAAAATTATCATAATTTAGAAATGTCAACTTGTTTGACATGCAACATTTTTACAGCAAGAAAGGTTTTAAAGACTAAACTTGTATGATAAAGCAAAGAATATATTTGATTTTTTTTTACTCTCATTTTAATTTCAAAATATACTAAATTATTATTAATATATGTATTTTAGGTTTACCCTGGAAGAAATATGTTAATTTCAGAGGAAAAAATTTATGAATTTTAAACCTAATCATAAAAATACTGTCTTTGTAAAAAGTATTCTCTTGCCATATGGAATGCTCATATGTTAAAAAATAGAAGTAATGGTG